TAAGTTTTTTTTTTTTTTTTAATGAGACAATCTGTTTATAACAAAAAAAAATTACAAACTATTTTGTGGAGAAAAGAGTTGTAGATTCTTTGAAGATGGATAACAAGGTTCTGTAAAGTGGAGGTACTTCTTTTTATCCACTAAAACAAATTATTACCTAAAAATTAATTAAAATAATAACAAACAAACTGAATAATTCTGGTTGTTTAGAAATTAATAAATCTTTCCCTTCTCTTCCAGAAGTATTAATTGTTCTCACCACCATATTAGTATGATGTTGAACATAGATGGTATAAAGATGAAACTGTCTGGAATACACTTTGTAACTATGACCTGTTCTTCTAAATACTCAATTACCATTAATCTTTACATTAAATACTAACGAAATATAACAAACCGAATAATTCCTATCAATTCATTTCTTGAATTATAAATATGAATCATTGTATTAAATCCAAAACAATAATCAGTGTGATACGTTTCTTGTCCAACTTCATCAATCATTACATAACAAGTCCATCCAATCCCAAGTTCAATTAATTTATATAAGTGATATTGTTTTTTATCCATCTTTTTTGTAGAAGAAAATGAAAGACTTCCCGAAGGATATATTCTTGTTGAAGAACACAACATATACCTTTTAATTGCATTGTCGTTCAATAGAGAGTTAAATTATATGAATGTTATCACTTTCATTGGATGACTTTCTTATCAGATTCCGTTTAATCTTTTTTTTTAATTATCGTTTTGATATGTTTTTATAAGTCTGTCTATTCTCTAGTTCAAATAAAATTTGATAGTACTAACAATTCATGTCTTCATTTAGTCTTATATTGATTCTAATAATATGAATAAACGAAATACACTGTATTAATTCTTGTTTGTATTGTGTCTTGTATGTCAACACTAACTTGTTTTTTTTTGTAAATGACATATAGTGTGCTTCGTGAAAATGAAGGTCATTTAGTATTGAAACTTGGTCAAACTACACTCTCTTAATAATTAAATAAATTATTTATTTTAACCAATTGTAATGAATGATTTATGCCATAATTACTCACATGTATTATTCAACAAAAGCTATATTTTGTATTAAATAAATAAATATTACATTGAATAGTATATAGATAAACAACTAACTTAAAAAAACTTCATTTCTTCAAAATAAACAACACCCTTTCTCCTTTTTAGGCTTTTCTATTGTCCAGATTTCTTCTTTTATAGAATATTTATATTCAACTACATTTCTTGTTATTATATCAAAGATTTGATTAATGTTTTCATTTGTTTTAGCACTGCATTCAAGAAATGGACATTTGACACTATCTGCATATTCTATACCGTCTTCTTTCGTTACCTGTCTTTCATTTTCTAAGTCACATTTATTTCCAACTATAATAATTGGAATTCCTTCATTCTCATCTTTGTCTTTAACTCGATAAATCTCTTCATAAATTCCTTTCATTTCTTCAAATGATTCTCTTGATGTTATTGAATATATTAATATAACCCCATCGCTCTGCTTTATGTATAAGTCTCTCAATACAAGGAATGGCTGTGTATAACCAAGTGTAAATAGTAAATAAGAATAAGTGTAATACTCTTTTAACCCATTTCATTGTAGTGTAAAAAAGTACAACTTACCTCAGAATGACGAATGTTTGGAAAGTTAGAATTTTGTTGTTGTTTTTTAGTTATATCTCCAGAAAAAAATAGATATATACACATTATAATGGTGTGTATATTCTGACATTCATTTTTTAATTAGTTTAGAATCACAATAACATTCCTTACCTTAACGTCTCTTTTAATTGTATTTAATGTGAGTTTTTTTTTAATTTCTATGCCTCTTAGAGTTGGAATCTTCTTCTTATAGCCAGTTTCTTTTTTAACCATACTTTAACTTCAGATTAGCATCAACTAGTCAATTATTTACACTTTTGTTATAACAGACAAAGAACTTTTTGTATTATTCACTTTATATTTAAATAATTGACAATTATTCATTTGTCTTGTGTAAAAAAAAAATAAATAAATGTTTTTATCTCCTTGTTTAATGAAATAAATTCACACAAAAATAAATGTGTTATTCCAACAATAAGGGAAATTCTGGTTTAATGTACTTTAAAACAATGTTTTTTTTGTGGTGTGTTTGAATAAATTAATATTGTTAAATAAGAAGAAAAGGCATATAAGAAATATTTAAAACTAAACATAACTTTACCAAATAAGAAAGAAGGAAATAAAATGAACTGATAATTGTAGTAAATTTTTGTTGATTAAAAAGACAATGGAAGTGTGCAAAAGAAAAGTTGAAAATTATGGACAAGGAAAAATCTTATCGTATTGTGTCAGTGATGATTATAATAGGATTTATATATTAAACAATGCACAACCACATGAAGTATATGAAATCAGTTGTGAAGACCGAATAGAAGAAGGAACAAAAATCCCCGAGTCTGGAAGGTTTGATGAGATTAAATCTGGAGCGTTTGCAAGTTGTTGTTTAATATGTAAAATCCGATGTGAGTGTGAATCAACTAATCATCAGTTATGTTGGTATGATAACACATTATATATACTATCAATTGTACAAGGGACAATCATTATTATTAATGGACATATGTCATATAGAATCAAAGTACCTTCTATTGATGGTACAGGAGAAATAACAATTATTAAGAATGATGTTTTTATTCAAGCACAGTCACATATACTTGTTAAAACAACCTTAGCTAATATTAAAGAAAGTATCATTAATAACAAAGATTTTGATTATACCGAAATTGATTTTAAACATGATATTGTTGGACTT